TTTTGCAGGTAGTCCATCGGGTTGAGCGCGCACGACATGACCTTAATGAGGACCTCGTTCTTGGCCGGAGTGGGAACATCGTGCGGTGCGAGAACGAAATCGGCTTTGGGAGCCTGGATGAGAAGGGCCTTCTGCTGCATGGATGCTAGTAGTAATCGAGGAGGATGCGGAGTGTGCAGAACATCGGTTGTATCTCTTCGCTTTTATAATTTCGAGTGCTCAGTGCAAGTCCGTTACCGATTAATGCCTGAGCATGGCTTATTCAGAATAGTAACTTGAAAGTCAACTTGAACCGGAATTCCCGGCGGCTTCTCCATACCTCGCATGACGTAAGTACCGTCCGATGTTGAAATTTAATTTCACGACACGGAGTCAGTCTGTGCATCGGCCTTGAAAAAACCAGTTGGCTTCCAAGTAAGGGTTGGACAAGCTGCTTTAAAGCTATAGGATTTGTGAAGTGCAGGTGGAGGCCTAGACGGAGGAGGGACTGCGGCTTGTCCGACGGCTTCTATGTTCGATCGTTGCTGCTTATCCGGTTCCATAACCGAGTACGTGTCGTATCCAGGATTCCAGCTTGGCATGGCGATCAATTGATGACTTTCTTCTCATACGCCGCATTAGGGGGTTTTTTCTCTTCGATTTCAAGTATAATTTTGAGAACTCTAAGTGGAGTGGAACGGATAAGCCTCAAATAATTTATTTCTCTATTTCGGAAGGGGCGCTATTGTAGTGTTTAGTACAGTTACCATACTCATTACAGTACTACCCACTGCCCTACGTCCGTTCCTTATCCGGTTCCATACCCGAGTACGAATCGCTTAAGCATGGCTCATTCTGAGTAAGCAGTACATACACCGAGATTGACGGAATTTCAACTGGAAGGGCCGACTGCGTCGGCCAATACTTGACTTGTGCGCGTTTGATTAATCTCCCCGAGGTACAGAGAGCTATGGATCCGCTGGGATCAATTCCACGCAGAGACTACGCTCTTTGTGACCCGCTGTACTATTGAGGTGCTGCCTCTCTGCCTGCATTGTTCAAAATTATATCCGAACCATAACGAGAAAACAAGGGCATGACCCAGCCTTGAGTCGAACCGGATCCCAGCAGCCTAAGCCTTATAGAAGCTCTCCACTGCACATGCTATGCTAAGAATTATGATGCTAGATCCTGGACACCTCAACGGTTCAAAAGAGAAGAATGAAATGTAATGAAGAGTTGAAGGGAAATGAACAATCTCTCGCACCCTCAATAAATTTAAACTAAGTAGAGTGTACGTGGTATTTATCCATTACACCACTGGGTAAAACAATCCGACTTTGAACCTTCAAAGTTATACGAAGGGGATGATTGATGATCGCCAAAAAAAAAACCCCCGGCAAAGAGAACAGCATGCTTACCAATGACCCAGCCCCGAGTCGAACAGGGACCTCGCATTTACTCATCATAGTATTAAATGGAGTGGGTGTTTTGCCGCTACATTACTGGGTCGTTGTTACTTAACAATGAACACAGTTTGAAATTCGTGAAGGAGACGAACAGAAAACAAGAAACCCAGTAACCAGTAAGCATCCCTGAGCTCTTGAGTTGAACCCGGATTTTCAATAAACAGCGTAGACTTTAAATTGGCGGGTGGCTGTTATTACAACGCTGAGTCAATACTTGTGGAAGTTAGCTCGAAGGATCATGCCTTGAGGGAACAAATGCATGAATAAAATCATTTCTGCATGTTCTGAACTTTGGAAATCTCATAGGCCAAGAAATTTGCCAGCACATTTGTGCGAGGGTTTGTGCGGATTAATACTCAGCCTCTTGGTGAACCGTGTTGCAAGGCCGCTCGATTATAGCCGTCCGCAGGCCAAAAGAATCTGAATCCAACGCAAGGTTTGACGACGTAGAAAAGGCCCAGTGTTGAGATGGCAACTGTTCAAAATTACAAAGTGAACCGTCAACGTGAAACATCTCCCCTGAAATTGCTGCGCTAGCCCTTATGCTACTAATTCCTGCTCCTGTCCCGGAAGCCTCAACGGTTCAAATGAAAAATAAATAAATAAAAAGAAATCGAGAGTTGAATAATTTCAATAAATCAATAAACACGTACTAGGTAGGTATCTTTCCGTTCCACCACTAGTACTTGAAATAATCCGATTTTGAAGGTTACGAAGAGGATGACCAAAATAAAAATAAAAATAACAGCAACGAAAAGCTTGTGGTGGAGACATTGAGTCAAACAGAGACCTCCCACAAGATTAAACGCGAATGGAGTGGTGTGTTACCGCTACACCACTGGGCCATTACCTAGAAGTATACTAATCCGTTTGAAATTCGCGAAACAAAAAACAAGAATAGGCCGCCCGAAAGAATTTAAATCGAAGGCAAGGTTTGACGACGCAGAACAGGTCCAGTACATTGACTGGAAATTTCCCTCGCTCTTCGTCTCAACCGTATCCACCTGTGGACTACCCAGGGCAGAACAAGGACATGCTGTGAAGGGCGCCGGCGGCTGTCACGGGGAAAGATGGTTACCGATCGATGCTCGAACTTCGGTGCCCTCGGATGTTGCCCATTGAATCCTGATAGTGGAATACCCTCCAGATATGTAGCCCCTAAGCTTTGCTGGCGGAGTTTTAGTGTCCCGAACGTTCCGAGCGCTGAAGGGCGGTGGCAAACAATGACATACCGGGGGTTGCCATCTTGGGATGGGGTGCCACGCGGAAGGGTGATGGCTTCACACCTTGTTTCTTGCATCGTCGTAGAGTCTCTTCCCCGCATTTCCTACCGTCGGACCCCCTAGAAAACCGCAAGTCCAGCACTTTTCGGTGGTACAAGGACCCCTATACGACTGGGATACCCCATAAACACGATAGATACACTCATACCTGGCCCATGGACGATACCTCGGGCGGATGGCGGTTCGCGCAGGCGTTTGGGGACAAGGGCGATATCGAGGAGATCACAGAGGCGGACATCATCTCTGCCGTCGAATTCGACTCGACGGGCAACTTCCTGGCGACGGGCGACAAGGGCGGGCGAGTCGTCCTCTTCGAGCGGAACCAGACCAAGAAGAACTGCGAATACAAGTTCTACACAGAGTTCCAGTCGCACGAACCCGAGTTCGACTACCTCAAGTCGCTCGAGATCGAGGAGAAGATCAACAAGATCAAGTGGTGCGGACGACAGAACTACGCCCACTTTCTGCTGTCGACGAATGGTGGGTAGTAATAATCTGTAATATACAAATCAGACTGATTATTGGAACAGACAAGACGATCAAGCTATGGAAGGTCTTTGAAAAGTCCCTGCGGATCGTCTCGGAGACGAACCACTACGACGGGCAGCGACCGCTGCCACCGCCGACCGCACCACACCACCTGCGCCTCCCGCGGACGATGCAGCAGGACAACATCATTGCAGCGGTGCCACGCAAAGTGTACGCCAACGCACACGCCTATCACATCCACTCCATCTCCGTCAACTCGGACCAGGAGACATACATCTCGTCCGACGACCTGCGGATCAACCTCTGGAACCTCAACATCCACGACCAGAGCTTCAGTGCGTTTGCCTATCGTTCTCTGAACTCATCTAATTTATTGCAGACATCGTGGACATCAAGCCGCAGAACATGGAGGAGCTGACAGAGGTCATCACCTCCGCGTCCTTCCACCCGATCCACTGCAACCTCTTCATGTACTCGTCCTCCAAGGCAAACATCAAGCTCGGCGACATGCGCGACTCGGCGCTCTGCTCCCAGCACGCCAAGCGTGCGTGCCTTCTTTAATCGATCGTCCTATTATCCATCTTTCTTATCTTATCTTGCACAGGATTCGAAGAAGAGATCGACCCGATGACGACGTCCTTCTTCTCCGAGATCATCTCCTCCATCTCGGACGTCAGCTTCAGCCCTGATGGGCGCTACATCCTCTCACGCGACTACCTCACACTTAAGATCTGGGACGTCAACATGGAGTCGCGCCCCGTCAAGACAATCCCGATACACGACCACCTGCGCGGGAAGCTGTGCGATCTGTACGAGAACGACTGCATCTTCGACAAATACGAGTGTGTGTGGGGCGGGGATGGAAAGTGCGTGTCTATACTTGTATCATGTCATGTGTTTATGCTGATGTTTTTTTTTTTAAACTCGCCTTTCAGACAGGTCCTGACCGGTTCATACCACAACTACTTCCGCATCTACGACACGGAAGGCAGTAACGACATCGTGCTACAGGCGGACAAGTCCGTGCTCAAGACGAAGAAGATCGGGCCCGGGGGCAAGAGCCGCCAGACGGTGCTGCGCGAGGCGATGCAGTCCGAACCGCAGGACTTTAACAAGAAGATCCTGCATGCGAGCTGGCATCCGAAGGAGGCGACTGTTGCGGTGAGTTTATTTTATTTTTATTTGCTTTCTTCTTCCCCTCTTTATTATTCTGTCCGCCATATTAAACCTCCGCCAGATCGCGGCGACGAACAGCCTGTTTGTGTATAGCGCGGCCTAACGGGTCGCGTCTGGCCACCACTCCTCCTGATATGTACATCCGCCGCCGCCACCCGCCACCGTCGAATCGAACGTGCCAGCCACTTCGACTATCCCTTCCTCCCTCACCAACCCACCCTACCGCCACCGCTAATTCCACTACCCGCTCCACCTACCTCTCCGCCCCACCTACCCTTTCCGTCCAACTACCCACCCCCACCCCCCCCTGCCCCCTCTCTCCACGTGGGAGACGCCGCTCGATCCCGTCTCCACGTCGGAGATGCTGCTCGATCCCGACCCAGACTTTTTTTCGCCTCGAAAAAAAAGTACTTATAATGCAATGAATGTACATACATGAATGTAACAACGTAAATGGGCAACAGATTTGAAAGTGAATGGACGGGAGGGGGAGGAACATGATGTGATATGTGCCCGGTAAGTTCATAGGAGAGCTGCCGTTCGGTTTCATGATTTGAACGTACGAATGGTTGAACTTGAGGGGGTTTTATTTGGTTGCCAGGACGGCCCGGTGGTGTAATGGTTAACGCGCTCACTGCTTTTTCGTGTGGAGGAATGCTTTATGTGGGAGATTCCTGTTCGATTCAGGAGTGGGTCAGTTTTTATGTTGGGTTTCTGTTCTTTTTCTTTTCGGTTTATCAGCTCCAAGTAATTCTGAGCGGTTGAAGTTGAACCACCCTGCTTCAATCTCAAGTCCACGTACCCAATAAAAAACGGGTTGTTCAAGAAGTTTCGTGATCAGGGTTTCTCGTTATGCCCTCGAGTTGTAGTTCTGAGCAAGCTCTGGGGACCTTTTTTTTTCGCACTAGTTGAAAGGGTGGATAAGCCTCCCTGGCTCAAAGACTGGAATTGGCTAGAATTCCTCGGACTCATTTTTTTTCTCATTTTTTTTCCAACTTGGTCACGTTCATGTGATCGGAGTCGGCAATCACAAGCAACCAACTTTGGGACGATTCTTGTCTCCCTCCGCCATGTCACCGACTACACTTCCTCTGGATATCATCCTCCAGGTTACCTGTGAGCTGGATCTTCAAGACTCGACCCATCTCCTCGCTGTACACTCAGCCTCTCCTCAATTACGCTCCTTCAACTGATGCACTTTACAGATTTGCACAACCTACCAATCCCTATCCGCATCGAAAGACTTTTGGCTCAAGTCCCTAGAACGGATGGAGATCGTTCACCGGAGGCCTCTTCCTTGTTCCGAAGTGACTGTACTATCGACCCTTTCTCTGGAGAAGCTGCAGGAAACGGCCATTCATGCATATCGACTGCTTCGGAACTGGTCTTCTGAGCGCCCCGTCCCCGTTTCTGAGTATGAGTGCGCGATGAATTTGGAGCGCGGGAGAAACCTCAAATACCTCATTCTTCCTGGCACGCGATATATTGTAGCCTGCTCGGTCGAGGGCATGTCATGCTGGGACACAGTGTCTGGGGCTTGTCTTGCGAGTATGCCCAGTGAGCCTGGGGTGTTAATGGTGACCATATGTGATACTCCTTTGGAGCGGCCGGGTAAATGCTCTTTTGCTGTAGCATTCGAACTTCTTCGGTAAAAACACTTCCAGCCAAGCACTCGTACAAATACTCACTCGATAAGATCGCAGCTACACTCGACTCGCAGTCGTCCGCATCGATCATCAGGTCGACAAAAATGTTACAATAACTCTAGACGACTCAGTTATCTGGCAGCGTGCGCAGTCCCACTACCTTAGGAGTGTCGCCCTGGACGAAACTCGGATGGGAATGGTCTTACTGGACGACACCGCAGACCGGAGGTTCGAACTCGTATACTGCGACCTGCCCGTCAACTCTGCCTTGCATCGTGTAGTGCTGCCGCATACCCAAACGGAAGAATTTCCCCTCCTCATGGTGCAAGACGGCCAGTTCTATATTGCGGCTGAGCAGCCAAACAGCAATCCGCTGAGATTCGAGATATCCCGCGTCGATATCGAGCTCTCGCACTCTACGGCACCAGTTCACGACATCCACACGATACCCAGGGTTGTCCCAGCCCCTCCCGATTTCAGGCCGGATTCAAACCCTATGAACCGCTTTTGTGTCGGGTCACGCATGTACACCCCGAAATACGGAATTTCCCTCATCACCCACGGCTCATTCTGTCTCGACAATGATGTCCTAGGGCGCACAAGACGGCAGACCAGTGTCTACTTCTGGCCTGCCACTCGCCCAGACTCCGCCACCGACCTCAAGTTTGCGCCACTCTGTCTCTACACACATCACCGTGACATAAGCCGCCTTTACCCTGGCTCGTCTGGGACGTGTGCGCTGATAACGTGAGCTGCCCACGTCCATCCCCCCGTCATTGTCGGAGATTGTTTTGGACGATGCATTGGGAATGGTGTATATGATACATGCCAACCGGCTTTCTGTAGTTGCCTATGTGTAGTGGGGATGATCAACTACAGTGCATTGGACCGCGTTTCCAACCTTACGATGCTCCAGGACATTTAATAAATTATTTAACACTGTTTCAACCTCGAGTCGACATTGTTCAAAACTTTCCGTAACGACAACTGGAGATTACCGTTTCTACCTGTGATTATTCTCCAATACGACTGGAGCGTTTAGTAAGTAATTTTAAATTGTAACCGAAGGAACGTCCCGGGCCACGCCCAGTGTTCCATCTACATCCCCGAAGTTGAGATAGCTTCTTACTGCGTCTCCGAAAGCATGTACAAACGCCGACAATCGCCACATCCATCTCGGGGGTATTCATTCTCTCACCTGTCACTATTATATTTTTTACGAATGTTCTGCGGTGCCCGATTCAGACTTTTTGTCAGTAGACAGCGAGGAACGAAATACAGTAAAAATGCAGTCAAAATCACCGTAAAATCACCAAGAGCCTGAATGTATCCAGAAGGTCTTCAAGCTTCAAACATCAAGCTTCAAATGTTTTTTACCGGGCGGGCATGTTGGATATCTAGTAATTTTTTATGCGAAAGGCAGGCACGGCAATTTCCTTTCGGTCCGATGGCAGTTGTTTTCCTTCCCTTCGGCCGCTTCAGTGTCGGGCCGAAATATGCTACTTCCCTGATCACCCAAGGTTTTTTCGGTATCGTCGGCGATGTGCGCGCTAGGTCGCAGGTCGCAGTATGTCCGGGCGTGTGCTGAGCCATACGTCGTCTTCCTTGAGCTACACACGACCACCAAGCTGCATATGTACCTTTATTGTCCCGAATTTATTTTCGACGACGCGTTGGGATTGGTGTACATGCTCCATACCCAACGTCTTTCTACCGTCGCCTATGTATAGTCTGGCAACCAACAGGGGTATCATTTATCTCTTTCAACCCAACAGGCTCACCCACCCAGTCAGGAATTCCGGAAATAAGCTCCGAGTCATGCCGACATCTGCATTAGCTGTCAAGAAATTGACAGAAGGAAGGAAGAGGCTCCGCGGAACTTGGAGAGTCCAAGGGTTGAAGCATTACATACTAGTATGCGTGGTGCTGTCCTTTCCATGGGGCAGAACAACGAGGCCATTTCCGCACACACAGACATTTATTCCGGCACTGAATTGCGCTTTCTAATGTCGTTCTCACCGATGCCTTTCATTCATTGGGTCAACAGCTGTTCTGTCCAACGGGATGGCTGCCACCCATGGATAGTTAATGATCGCCTGCACGTTTCGTTGCAGCTAAAATACATACGGATGCTCCAGTTGGACATGTGAGACTGGTCAGACGAGGGCTTGGATCGGAATGAGGTTCAAATTGGATTACTTAGGTAAATCTCGGACGTACGAATTTGAACGGGTACGCAAAGGGTACGAGAAATTTTAATAACTCCCCATCAGCAGCGTAGCTCCTGTGGCGAGTCGTTACTCCCTTGTGAGTGCATACCTGCTTGATACCTGCTAAATGCCAACAGTGCCAAATCCGAAATCATACTTGCCGCGACGGAACTGTTGAACTGTTCGCAGATCGCTTAGAATTGATCCACATGGAATCCGCACTATCCTTGTTCGGGAAGTAACACAAAAAACCACGAACATCTGCGTAGATCTTAATCGCATGTATAGGTCCGGATGCCGCGACCTCGAAAGCTCTGAGGTTACATAGAGTTACATAACAGTGCCAGTGCGAGCCGAGGCAGGTCCACCTGATAATGCTGCCTGTTTTTTGATGGCTTGTCAGGAAGATCCCAATGCGTCAACTTGTTCTCACATGATGAAAGTGGAATTATGCACGTCAGGCCGCCAGGACGCTGGACAAAAAGCGCGATCCTGGTCGGACCAAGGATCGCGCTGTGGATGACGAAAAACCCGAGTTTGCCGGCTTCAGGCCGGAAACGAGCTAAAGCGAGCTTGGCCTTCCGCAAGAACGAATGAAGCCCGGAGGTTGTGTTGCGAACGACATCGGTGTATGCGTGTCAGCAATGACAGCCTACTTCAAGGAGAATCCGAACACGAGTTCGCTGGATACCAAACGACGCCGGCGGAGAAGTGCGTTCACATAACTTCGCAATGCGGCGTGTCGATGCCTACGATGGGTTTGAAACCCGAAACGTGTTCTACCAAGGCGGCCACGATAACCCTAGCGACTCCGTTTCACTGGTGGAGAAATAAATCCTAAGAAATCATCGATATGCGGGACCGAATCCTTAGCAAGCGTAGCCGTTGGCATTGGGCTAAGTTCGCTTATGGGCGGCGCCTTGACGCGACAATGTCCTTGGCTAATTGGCTAAAGCGGCGGATCCGGCAACCGGCAATCAACACGCACTGACATCATCGGGCGATCTCCTCCGACTTATTCCTCCAAATTGTTCCTTGTAATACCTCGAAATAAGTCCTCAAGGAGATATTTCGGCCCGAACACGCACATAACGATATCTCCTACTCGCCAAAAATTCGAGCACAGCTCAACCACCTTCCCGACCAACGCGAAAGCCAACGTTTCTGCGCGTGGCATTAGCTGGCACTGCTGTCTCAGTCTGGCCACTTGGCAGCAGATATCGATCATGTCAAGTCCTTGCTCGCGTTTCATAATTTCTATTCTCGTGTCAGCTTTGACTGGATCATTCGCAGGACCCCCCGGATTAGGACTTCGATTAGTCCATAAGGCGCCCGTCCGCGTTAGTTTAACGACCATGCCCGCCCACGCAACGTCCTTGTTCTCATCCACCTAGTATCGATGTACACTGCATACGCGCCCAGTGCCAAATCGTCACCAAAGATGGCCTTCTTTAAGCGGTCAAAAACTTCCTCCGACGGCCTGCGGCCAAACGACATTCCTTCTCGCAGTGTATCGCCTGTGGGCTCTTTTTACGGGGACGGACTACGACCATTCGATCTGCCACCTCGAGGTGCATCCCCTAGCTCGTTTTACTCTCATTCATCTGCATCAACGCCATCTATCAACTCGGTTTCTTCATTTGGATCCAGGGATCGTCCCCTTCCTACCCTTCCCCCACTAACTATCGGCACTTCCTGGCTTTCTCGGTCCCCACGCTCTAACCACTCGCTAAACACCATGTCTCAAACCGTGTCCGACTTAGCATCCCCACCAGAGACCCCGGTCGAGGTGTCCGAGGCAGAGCTGCGCAGACGGCAGCTGGAGAAGGCTACGCGGATTT